CCTCGTAAACGGTGCAAGCAAGTGCAATTCTCTTAGCTTTGCTTTGCCAAGATGTCCATCGAGCTTCCTTTTTAATCCACTTCAAAGCACTAGCTAGTGTAGACATGAATTGCCTCATTCCTAGTCACTTTTGAAACTGTCCCTATGTTTCATTGCTGGATAGGCATTCAAAAAATAGGTGCTTACCAGATTCTTCCTTAAATCCACAGAAAACACAGCTTCGATACAATTCCAAATGTTGTAATTTATCTTTAGTAAGTAGCCTAGGTTGGGCACTTAGCCAAAGAATAAATGAATGTTTCGGTGTGATACATAGCTTCCAAACATATGCTGCCCAGGTTTTGTTAATTCCCTTCGATCGAAAATACTCATATGACTTAGACATAATCAGCTTGCCCTTGGTACTTCACTCCGCCAATCGCTAGATGGTAGCCCGCACATTACCCTCTTTTTGGATAAACAATCCCTGAATTGTCAACAACTTCTTCGTCAATGGAGAGATCATTTTTAGGCATCCACTCCCAAATGGTTCCACCTCTCAAGTATACATGATTGACCCAACATACCCAAAGTGTCTCTCTTATCTTGAATATTCCAAGGTGCCTTGGTTAGCAAAGTATTATTCCAGCACTTTATGTCTTGAAATCCCAATCATCCCTTACATTTAGGGAGACAAACATCTGCCCAAGAAACTAGCGATTTTTTAGAGTTCCAAAGAAAATTCCTGCAAAGTCGAATAATTCTTGACGTCGCTGTTGTCAGAATCGAAAAGATAGATAACCAAAAGCATTCAGCTCCTTGTGAGACTGCCCTAACCAATTCAGCCCTCCCAGCCCAGCATAAGACAATGATGCACATGCCATGTATTAATGTATGCCGCAATCTTGTCCAAGAACGGCGCATAATGATTAACTCTCAACTTTTGTGCTACAAGTGGAATCCCCAAATATCTAAACGGCATTGTACCCTTGGGCATGCCCACAACCTCCTGGATTTCATCCAAATCTATCCCTTGAATACCAGTCGTGTAGAGATTTGATTTGTTCAAGTTCACTCTCAATCCGAAACAATGATTGAACTTGGATAGGCATTGCAGCAATATGCGCATCGATATAGCATCACATCTAGCAAACAACATCAAATCATCCGCAAATGCCAAGTGTGTGATTTTCAAAAACCCACATTTTGGATGGTAATTAAAATCACTATAGGTAGTAGCCGCATTCAATGATCTTGATAGATATTCAAGACAAATCACAAATAAAAATGGCGATAGAGGGTCTCCTTGCCTTAATCCTCTTTTGCCCTTAATGAAACCATGCAAGCAACAATTAAGTGCAATAGAATATGAAGGGGAAGAGATACATACCATCACCCACCTAGTGAATCTAGCCGGAAATCCCATTCCCTCCAAAACCTATTCCAAGAAGCTCCATTCAATAAAGTCATACGCCTCTCGAAGATCTATTTTAAGTATGCATCTCGGTGAAACTCTCTTCCTACAATATCGTCTCAATAATTCTTGAGCAAGGTGGACATTTTCTATCAAACTCCTACCTTTTTCAAATACAACCTGTGATTGATCGATAATAGTCCCCAACACTGGTGCCAATCTATTAGAGAGGACCTTAGTAATGACCTTATAAGTGACATTGCAACATGAGATAGGTCTATAATCACCAACAGTGGATGCGTGACTACCTTTAGGAATTAAGGCAATGATGTTGTGATTAATTTCTTTAAGTAGTGAGCTAGACTCAAAAAATTCAGTTATAGCCTCCACAAAGTCACCCCCAACTGTACTTCATGCTTTTTTGAAGAAACATGATGTGTAGCCGTCCGGACCAGGCAATTTATCCTCTCCAATATCAAACAAGGCTACCTTTAGTTCTTGTGCGGTGATATCCATGCCAAGAGCATTTGCATGCTCCAATGAGAGTAGTGGCCCCTCGCCGAAAATTTTAGGATCAATGGATTCACAAGCATTGCTCGTTCCCAGCAGATTTTGATAGAATCCGACAAATTCATCGGCCACTTGTTCTTGTAAGGTCGTGGGGTGCCCATCATCTTTAATAACCGTTGCAATGATATTTCTTTTTGCATTCCTCTTTACCATGGAGTGGAAGAATTTCGTACATTTATCACTTTATTCATCCAGTTCTCTTTGATGTTTGGAAGTTTATGTTCTTGAAGATTCATGTTGTTCTTGGTATATTGTAAGCGGCCAGATGGTTTTGATGAGCTCTTGAAGATCCAAGTTTTTGTCTTGCTGTTTATTACTTGTTTGGACAATTAATTCTAATTTTCTTCACCCCTTATTTGAAAACTTGAATCATTCGAACTGACCTTGTAGTATTACAA